TGGTAATTAAGCATTATGTTTAATTAAATAATTAAACATAAAATAGGTGATTAATTATAATTAATCACACACCTAAGTATTATTAGCCGTGACTTATGCAAAATTTCCCAAAAAAAAATTCTCACCAAGGCCGTGAGTTTCTTAAGCCAAGGGAAATGAATTTTTTTCTAATCAAATTAAGATACTTGTCAACTTAAGAAGGAGCTTAGTCATCCTAATTTCCCTTAAAATTGTGGCACTTGGACGGTAAGGGAAATGGCCACGCCACTCCTACATCACACCATCATCTCCACGGCCGATTATAAAAGGGAGCACTTGAACGAAATTTTCCCACTTTTTCCTTAAGACCGATCAACATATTCAGCAAATATAAGCCTCCTTCAGCAGCTTAAATTCAGCAAGTAATTTCCCTTAACTTCCATCTAATCGCACGACAAGGTTGAGTAATCGCACGGCGCACGCGAGGCAAAGGATCACGCCCTATCGTCCAATTCAGTCGATCGTTTCAAGAGGTAACATCCTCCCCCTTTTGTGATCTAGTTAATAAGGTTATGTAAAGATTAAGTGTTTGGATCATATTCGAGATTTTTAAGCAAAAGCCTAAGTCCGATCATGTTTAAGTAAGGCCATCACCGAGTTATTTTCGATTTCTTCCGGCAACTCTCGAACCATTAAACTGATTTCATGTTCACTAAGTTCAGTTTTGTCGAAGCAAAATGAGTTTTGTCGATAAAAAGGGCCCAAGCCGTCGCCAGCGCCTATCGCGCATGGCCACGGGCGGCCGCAGTCCGAGTCTTGTTGCTTTCAGTAATAATCATGTTCAGCTGTGTGTTTGTATCCTAAATTGCTTCATATTAATGTGCATGTTCAGTTGTTCTGAGGTTGCCGAAGAAAAAGGTATTTCGGCCGGCAGACGGCGTATAGCCGTCGGCGGCGCACGGCGCGCCCGCCACGGTCTTGTCATGTTCATCGTGCAGTGATTTCATTTTCAGGTCATAATATTCATATTAAGTCATGATAAGTTCAGAAGTTGAGATATTTGTTAAGTTTGGTCGGGGACTTGGCCGAAGGCTGTAGGCCTCGCACGTAGCGAGCCTACCACGGCCGTGAGTTAAGTCTAGCAAGCGAATTCAGCAATTTCGTTATAAATTCAGTTCAATGATCATGTTAGGTCAGAAAAGATT